ATATAATTTTCTTTTCTGTGGCTCTGAAGAAAGCAAATGTAAACAAAATGTCAGCTTGAAGCACAGCTCCACAAACCCACACATGCTGCGCTTTAAGAGGTGTGAAGGTTGTGTTCTCATGTTACACAGAACATTGTAATAACACCTCTCTTGGCAGGAGACTCGCACCTGTTCCACAGGATGTGTATTTTTTGTAGTTGACAAGAATCATACTTTATCAGCCACTGTGCTTGCTTAAATGACTCATATTTAACAGAAACAAAGTTATTAATCAGGCCATTTTTAGTGGCATGCTCCAACTAGATGCATAATAAAAGACGTAAAGATGATCTATTCTGATGTATTTTTGAATGAAAAAAAAAACTGTAATTCTTAGCAAACATTGTTTCTTGAATTATTTCACACTAATTCTGCAACTGGTAGCAAGTATCATATTCATGCAAGCATAATATGAAAATTTAAATCCATAAAATCATCCACAAAGTTCAAGTTCTCACTCCTCTTGGTCCATTCTTCATATGAGTAAAGGCTGTTTTCATACTAACCCTGTTTATTCTGCCTTAATTGAACTCTAGTTCATCTGCCTAGAAAATCAGTTTCTTTTGGGGAGATGTAAATGCGAAATCAAACTTGAACCAAAAAGGAAACTCTGGTCCTCCTTCAACCTAGGTCTCAGTTCACTCAATGTAAATTCTGGTTCAGATCAATAGCCAGGTGGACTGGAGACTTCTCCAAAAGCAGGAAGCAGACTATAATGCAGGGCATTCTGAGTAAAAATAGTAATAAAGTTACTCGTATACCTTGCTTGACACCTTTATAAAGTGGACAAAAATGCTGTGAAGCTGCACTCCTACTCAGTGCATGTCGCCTCATACAGAGGCATCTCAGCCACCTTGTAGTTAAATTCCTTTGGTACCACATCCTAGAAATAGCTTTGCTCAGACAGTTCTTTAGAAAATTAAACTAGTTGTATAAGTTGAATTATATATATACTGTATATACATATTTATAATTTTGTACATAAAGATGTGTCAGTTTAGTCAGACAAACTCACTTTACCTTGAAAACATAAGACGCAATGATTTTTTTATCATCAAAATGAATCATCACATTCCCTTCATTAATTGTCATCACCAGAATTAAATGTAGGGCAATTGTAACTTTTGTTTTGTGTAATTGTAACTTTTGTTTTGTGTAA